TGCCGTCGGGGAGTCCGGGGGAAGCTCCTTGCGGCGGCCACGCCCAGCGTCACGAGTACTCAGGGGCAGTCATTCTCAAACTATTGACATTCGTATACAATTACACCATGCTTTGTCAGACTCGCATTCATGCACGTAGACTCGCTCGCACGCAGATTCATTCACAGTCAGACGCACTCGCGCTCAGATTCACTCGCGCTCAGTCCCACTACGTATTCAGATCAATCGTTTTCGTTCGCGTTGTCTACCACGCCACGCATTTCGGCACACCCCTAGCACGGTTCGTTGCCTCATAGGGATCACCATCGGAGAAGTGAATCACCATTGCGGTACTCACACCTGCATATGGTTGGGTCCTTCGTCAGGCTAATTGGGTCCTCGTTTGGAAGGGGCAGTGCCCCGCGTTTCCTCCTCCTCCTCCTCCTCCTCTTTCCACCTCCCTCCTCCCCTCCTTTCATCATTATCATGATCATAATCATCATCATCATCATCATCATCATCATCAGTATTGTGATCATCGTCGTCATCATCATCATCATCAACATCAGCATCATCAACATGATTACGCGTCTCGTTGCCACATAGGGAGCTCCGCCGAAGGTCCCAGTGGCACAGCTCGCATGCGTCCCCGCCACCCATTTCGGCACACCCCTCACACGCTTCGTGGCCCCATAGGAGCTCCGCCGAAGGTCCCAGTGGCACAGATCGCAGACGTCCCCGCCATTCATTTCGGCACACCCCTCGCACGTTTCGTGGCCCCATAGGGACTCCGCCGAAGGTCCCAGTGGCACAGTTCGCATGCGTCCCCGCCACTCATGTCGGCACACCCCTCACACGTTTCGTGGCCCCATAGGGACTCCGCCGAAGGTCCCAGTGGCACAGTTCGCATGCGTCCCCGCCACCCATTTCGGCACACCCCTCACACGTTTCGTGGCACCATAAAAGCTCCGCCGGAGGTCCCAGTGGCACAGTTCGCACGCGTCCCCGCCATTTATTTCGGCACACCCCTCACACGTTTCGTGGCCCCACAGGAGCTCCGCCGAAGTTCCCAGTGGCACAGTTCGCACGCGTCCCCGCCAGTCCTTTCTGCACACCCCTCACACGTTTCGTGGCCCCGTAGGAGCTCTGCCGAAAGTCCCACTGGCACAATTCGCACGCGTCCCCGCCACTCCGAACAGTGGCACAGTTCGCAAGGCTCACACCCTCCCGAAAGTCCCACTGGCACAGTTCGCACGCGTCCCCGCCACTCATTTCGGCACACCCCTCAAACGCTTCGTGGCCCCATAGGAGCTCCGCCGAAGGTCCCAGTGGCACAGTTCGCACGCGTCCCCGCCACTCATTTCGGCACACCCCTCACACTCATTTCGGCACACCCCTCACTCGCTTCGTGGTCCCATAGGAGCTCCGCCGAAGGTCCCAGTGGCACAGTTCGCACGCGTCCCCGCTCCATTTCGGCACACCCCTCACACGTCTCGTGGCCCCACAGGAGCCCCGCCGAAAGTCCTAGTGGCACAGTTCGCAGACGTCCCCGCCATTCATTTCGGCACACCCCTCACATGTTTCGTGGCCCCATAGGAGCTCCGCCGAAGGTCCCAGTGGCACAGATCGCATGCGTCCCCGCCACTCATTTCGGCACACCCCTCAAACGCTTCGTGGCCCCATAGTGGCTCCGCCGAAGGTCCCAGTGGCACAGTTCGCACGCGTCCCCGCCATTCATTTCGGCACACCCCTCACACGTTTCGTGGCCCCACAGGAGCTCCGCCGAAGGTCCCTGTGGCACAGTTCGCATGCGTCCCCGCCACTCATGTCGGCACACCCCTCACTCGCTTCGTGGCCCCATAGGAGCTCCGCCGAAGGTCCCAGTGGCACAGTTCGCACGCGCCTCCGCCATTCATTTCGGCACACCCCTCACACGTTTCGTGGCCACATAAGGAACTCCACCGAAGGTCCCCGTGGTGCAGTCCGCATGCGTCTCCCTCACCCAGTACAGCGCTTCGTGGCCCCATATGGAGCCCCACCGAAGGTCCCCGTGGCGCAGTCCGCATTGTGTTGTTAGTTTTCGTTCGCGTTGTGTGACACGCCACTCATTTCGGCACACCCCTAGAACAGTTCGTTGCCGCATAGGGATTACCACCGAAAAAGTGAATCACAATTGCGGCACTCACACATGTACATGGTTGGGTCCTTCGCCAGGCTAATTCATTGTTTTGCCGATCGGCGCGGGCCCTCGCCCCCATCCCTCCCCCACTCTATGGAGTAGATCTTGGCTGTTTGTGTGCCCGTTTCGAGCAGGTGGAGTCTCTCCCATAGGACGCACTGTTCCAATCAGTCGCACTAAGCAGAGGTCACGAGCCAGACCCCCCCCCCCTTCCCCCTCCTTCCGCCCAACGGCGAAACGCCGAATGCCGAATAACAAAACGCTCACATGTCCCACTCGCGCCCAGGGCATCTTAGTTTGGGCCCTCCAGCTTCTAGTCCCTCGGGGGGGCCACACATGTCACGCAAGGGAGGGACGTTGCTGCGTGCGGAGTGGTTGAGGCCGCCAATCTCGCAATTTTGGGCCGCGAATCTTTCACGCTTGCGTAGGCCGCCATCATTTGAGCAGATAGCCTAGTGCGCCCATCTCCCAAATTTATGCGGGCGCCAGCAGGAGGAGTAGTTGGATATGATCGTGGATGTGGGTGATGTTGGAGGAAGGTCTGGTCGCCAATCACCCAAGTTTAGGCCGCCAATCTCGCAAGTTTAAGCCGCCCATGTCCCATGCTTAGGCCACCAACCTTTGAGCACGGAATTCGTGTGCCTACCTCACAAGGTTAGGCTGTCGCCAAGGAGGAAGAGAGTTGGAAGTGCTGGCGTGGAGGAGGACAGCTGGCACCGTCAGTAGTCGAGAACCATCTCATCGGTTCTATTTCGTTATGCCACATGGCATTGCATAAATGGCCTTAGCATTCAGGCGATATGACATTAACATGTGGAGGTAGAGAATATGTAGATCGGCTCTCCCTAGCTTCACCGTGTGGCATGGCATTCAGGACAGCAGCTCATGTACATTTCATCTGTACACGCATTATTGCCACACCGGGCCATTCCAGGCTCAACCAGTTCACATAGAAAGCGGTTCTCGCCAGTTCGCAGTTGATTCTATCTTGCTCCCCTCTGGCGCCTCACATGATCAAGCCACATTTCGTATGCAGTGCTGCTAGCACTGATATTAGACTTGGTGGACGGTGGGCGGAGGAGAGGCTCTGTGGGGGTGTGGTACAGTAGCCACCCTTTACGCCCTCGCCGTCACCGACGTACTACTACTTACGTTTTGTGCTGGCGTCTCCTCTTTTCATGTTCTCTTCCCTCGGAGCGCACGTTTTCACGAACCGACCTCCTACTCCTCGACCCAGCGCTTCACCCTGGCTGCTGTTAGTGTGCTCTGCCGGGGTAATTTCTACCAGACCGCCGCGGGAAGACGCGACGGCCCACGCGAGCATACGCTGGCGCAGTGCAGCGGCAGCATCAGCAGGACGAAGCGACCTTGGGGGCAGCCTGGGGGTGGGGGGCGGGCGGGACCCCGGGGGACGGAGGGTCCCGGAACGCTCTCAGAGCCTCCAGGGACGCTCTGAGAAGGCCGCGGTGCCCGAGACATCCTCCAGAGCCGCCCGATCTGGGAGATTCTCGGTTTACGTTCGCCCGATTTTATCGTCGTCCTTGCTCCGTCTTACCAGGTGGGGCGACGATGGTGGGGTGACAGGAATCGAGGGAGTACTAATTGACTAATTGCATGAGCACACGCCCTCGGAGGTCCGCGCAAACTTCTCGGGTCGGATGGGTCTCCCTTGGCGGCGCCCTCCGGCGCTGGAGGAGGGGGCCCGGAGCCGACCCAATAGGTCTTTGCAGATGTTCGAAGGATTTCACACTGTTCATTTATTATAATGCTTCGAAGGTTCTTTGATTTTTGGGGGCCAAGATCATTTCATTTCTAATTGTTCTATCCTGGGCCTCTTCCTGGCCACTAGGCGGCCAGGAACAATTAGAAACGAGCGCAATTAGAAATGAGCACGATTAGAAATGAACGACGTGTATGCGTATGCCGTGCTTTCTTCTGTTTATGCGTGCCGTTTCGTTCGTCCCGTGTCCGCGTCCCATGTCCGCGTCTGAGTGTCCTGGAGCCCAGGACGGGCATCTCTGGGCGGCAAAATCTTTGAAACGTTGGTGACGTCTGTTGTTCACGACGCTACCATCAGCCACGTGGAGACGGGACACGGTCGGACCGAGGTACAAGATCGATTTCGGCTCGGATGTTCTTCGTGTTTGTTGGATGTTCTTGTGCATCCTGGGGGAGGGTACCCTCGAATGTTCTTCAGTTTGGCCGGCGGAGGTTCTGCCCCAGGTCCCGCCGCCAGGGGGAAGCGGGCGGGGGGCTTCGTCTCAGGGTCGCCGTGCGAAGCCTCTCGCTGAACATCCTCTGGCCTCCTGCCGCTCTCCCCCTGTCCCCTCCTCCTGATGGCCATCCTTCCCTCCCTCGCTTCTCCTCCCCCTCCTCCTGCACCTCCTCTCGATTTATCCTCCCCCGAGGTTGTCCTCGTCCTGGCTTCGTCTTTGAGAGGGCTAGGCTCCCCTCCCTCGCTTCCCCCCCCTCTCTTGAATCTCTTCTCGATTGATCCTCGCCCGATTTTGTCCTTGTCCTGGCTTCGTCCTTGGGCAGGCTTACAGTCAACCCGCTGGCCGCGCCCCGCCCGCAAAGTGTCGGCATGGCCGTCCAAGGCCCTGGCATCCTTCCGAGGCTGGGATTTATCCATACCCACCGCCTGTGGGATCGATCCTCGCGGGCCTCCACGGGCGGTGGATATGGATATATAGTCGGGCGCTCGGGGGCCAAAACATATCCAAATCCACCGCCCGCTGGGGCACCAGGGCGTCGGTTCCGAGGCGGTGGATATGGATAAATCCCTGCCTCGCAGTCCTTGCCGCGCGTTCTTATTGCACGGGCTGACCGCAGGGAGGGCCAGGCTCGGCCCCGGCGGCGCCCCGGAGCCCCTGCCCGCCGCGCGGGCGGGCGGCGCAGGCCTGCGGCGCCGCCCTGCGCCCTCCGTGCTCCGCCGCCGTCCTCGCCGCCGCCCTCGGCGGGAGGAGGAGGAGGAGGAGGAGGAGGAGGAGGAGGAGGAGGAGGAGGAGGAGGAGGAGGAGGAGGGGAGTCTGGGCCTCCTAGATGGGGTCCGAGTAGATGGGGTCGGAGGATCCCGCCGCATCGCCGAGGCATCGGCGATGCGGCTCGATGTGGGGACCTTGTTTCCCCACGCCGACTTCGCCGATGCATCGCCGACGTCGCCGATGCATCGCCGATACAGGAGGCCTCTGGGGAGGGATAGGGCACGTTAAGATGCGTGCCAGCTGGTGACCTTGGGAGCGGTGCTCCACCAGCCACCAGGCTCTAGGTTGATCAACCCCTCAGGGCCGACCGGCCCTAGGGGGTGAGGTGGCGAACGCTTTTTCCAGCCACCAGGAACCAGGAACCCAGAGGAGGAGGTGGAGGAGGAGGACCGACAGCCATACCGTGCCTGGTTACAAACCCCATCCGAATTCAACGTGCTCGCCGACCTCGCCAAGGACATTTCGGACCCCAACTCTTTCACGCCGCCTTTCGACCTCAACTTCTCGCTCATGGCGATGCTCCCCAAGGGCGACGAGCCCCTCGGCATCGCGGAGTGCACGCGCACGCTTGACTGCCTACGCCCGATCTCCATGAAAAACACCGACATCAAACTGATTGCTTCAGCTGCCAACCGATCTCTTCATGCTATCTCCGCTGACACAGCACATGAACAACAACGTTTTGTGCATGGACGCCGATTCCTGCGCAACGTGGTGGTGGTGGACACTGAGGCCCGCCGCCTCAGCATGCATACCGAATCGAAGGATGACAAACCCGTCTTCATCAGTATGGACATTGCAGCTGCGTTCCCGAGTCTCGGACATCAGTGGCTATGGATGGTGCTCTCTCGCTGGGGCATAGCTGGCCGTATGCTTAAGCTCCTTCGCGCGTGCTATTTCTTGCCGCTGACCTACCTCGAGCTGGGCGGGATCTTGAGGCCGCTCTGCATCGTCGCCTCGGGCGTCGCGCAGGGCTGCCCTTTGAGCGGCGCCATCTGTGCGCTCGTCTTCGACCCACTCGTACGAGCGATCAGTGCTGAACTACAAGCCATTCGACGAGGACTGGTGAGTGCCTGCGCCGACGATCTTGGCATTATTCTCGCCCGACTCAGTGATCTCGCTCGATTGGTCCTTCGCTTTGTTGCCGCGGAGCTACTGGCAGGGCTAAAACTGCAAGCCGCGAAGTGCATCATAGTGCCGTTATGAACGCTCCCCAACGTGACGCTGCGCGACGAGATCCGCACGCTCTTGGCAGAGCTCCACCCTCCATGGCAGACCTTCAAGGTCGAAGCGATGGCCCGCTACCTCGGCTTCATGGTTGCCCCTGGTGCTGCGGTTTTCGACCAGTGGAAGTGCCCGACCAGCAAGTGGTGGGACCGCATCGAGAAACTTTCGATCTCGCGCGCCCCGCTACAGATGTGCATCGAGCTATACAGCGTCGCCGCGGTGACCTGCCTCTCCTACATCGGCCAACTGTGCGAGCCCCCACCTACCCTGCTCGCGAAGGAGCCCCAGGCGATCCACAAGTTGCGGCGTGCCGCCCCCAACTTCTTCGCCAAAGCTGGTATCCAAGCTATGACACACTGGACCAACGTCGAGACCCCCAACGGCATATAACCTCGATTTGCAGCCACGATGTGGAGGACCGCCCAGGTCGTATCAAGAACTGGACCCACCTTTACGATGACCTCCACGAGACCGCCATTTCTGAGATCCCGATGCGTGGCGTGGTCGTGGGCCGCTGGTGTGCCCGCTGCTGGAAGGACTCCCTGTCGATTGTGCAGCGGTTACATGGAGTTCTCTCGTCCACATGCTTCATTGAGGGGAAGGGCTCCACATGCAAGTGGATCCTACGCGACTTTGGTAATAAGTCTCGTGCACGCGACGCCTTTCACAATGCACGCAAGCATGCTGCCCGACAAGGCCTCAACGCAGTCCAACTTGCCGCTGTACCCGAATATGACGACGCCCCACGCCGTCGGAAACTCACCCCATATAAAGCATACCATATAGCGCTGTGGTCTGCCAGATGGCTTCCCGATCTGCTCCTCGATGCTCGGGGCTTTGACAATGGGGGTGGCTGGATGAACTGGCGCGAACATTACCTGGCAGGCGCCCTTCTCCGCGACGGCCGTCGCCCGCTGTATCAGCCCGACGCTCAGCGCCACCAGGTCGCACGTGACATGCGCCGCCAAGCGTGGGGGGGTGGAGCTTTTGGCCGCCGCCTTCTCGAGCTACGTCCACTTGGAAATGCTGGCCCTCGACGTGAGGACAGACGCGAACACGGCCGACACCGCGCTGTGCTTGCCGCAGAGCATCGAGCCCGCCGCCGACGGGTCGAATCACATCTGCCCGCAGCCCATGCTGAGGATCAGCCCGGCCAGCTCGACCCTCCGTCCAACGTGGACATGGCCGACTCCGACCTGATCGGCGTTGACGAGATCCCGTCCGACCTGCAGGAGCGATGGCAGCGCCTGAAGATCCACATAGCTGGGCTCCCGCCTGCTCGCTCGTGGGCAATGATGGAAACTCTCGGCGGAAGGGGGGGGGGGGGGGCGCGCCCTACCGCGCGCGCGTCCTGCGCGCGAAGCGCAGCTGCCACTTCGGTTGCGACGCCAAGGGCGCCATCGCGCACTTTCTGACCTGGTCCAGGATGCTCCACCACATGGCGAAGCCGCGAGGGGACCTGTCCGCCGAGCTGCTGACTCGGCCTCGGTTTCCCCCAGCCGTTCGACGGCGAGAACGGCATCGGGAGCTCAGTCGCCAGGCTGTCCGCGGCGCGCCGCGCGTACCACCTGTCGGAAGACGCCGCTGCGGAGGGCCTGCTGGCCTACGAGAGGATGCCGACCTGTCGGGCGGCGCGGGCGCGCGCTGCTCTAGCTCCATTTCTTCCCCTCCGCCCCCTGCCCGCCCTCGTCGCATCGCGAACCTGCTGCGGGAGGCGCACCCCGCCCCCGCCCGCCGCCCGAGCCGACAGGGCGAGCCCCCAGCACAGTCGGGCGCTCGCTAGAGATCGAACAGACGTCCGCCATCAGACGTTCGATCATTCTCCTCCTCCTCCTCCTCTTCCTCCTCCTCCTCATCCTCATCCTCATCCTCCCCCTCCTACTCGCCCAATTCGTCCTCCTCCTCCCCCTCCGCCTTCTTCCTCCTCCTTCCGCCTCCCCCCCCCCCCCCCCCCCCGCGCCGCACGCACGCACGCGCACGCGCACACACACGCACACACGCGCACACACACACCCCCCACACACACGCACACACACCACCACACACACCCCGCACACGCACGCACACACACACACACACACACACGCACACACGCACACACATACACACACGCACACGCACACGACACGCACACACGCACACACGCACACACGCACACACGCACACACGCACACACGCACGCACACACACGCACACGCGCACACGCGCACACACGCACACACGCACACACGGACACACGCACACGCACACACGCACACACACGCACACACACGCACACACACACGCACACACACACGCACACACACACGCACACACACACGCACACACACGCACACACACGCACACACGCACACACGCACACACATACACACGTACACACATGCACACGCACACGCACACGCACACGCACACACACACACACACACACATACACACGTACACACACACACACACGCACCGCCTGAACGACGTCGAAACGTACCTGGCAGCAGCGCTGCGGAGGACAATGCCTGCTATTGTGATAGAGTGGAGGACAGCACTGCGCGCGCTTTGCGGCACCGCCTACTCCGAGTTCCCCATCGTCACCGCGCAGCAGGGCGCGCGGCGCAACGAGTGCTGGAAGATCAAGACTGCGATCGTGCAGCGCCTTGAGGGCGTCGCGAATTCCACGCGGCTCGTTGCGGGCAAGGGCTCGCACGTTCTTCGGCTCACTCGAATAGGTGGGCCCCGACCGCGACCTCCTCGTGCTGCACGATCGCCATTCGCAAGAAAACGGCCTGGGCAGGACGCGACGCCGCTCTTCGTCGCCACGCCGCCGACCATGACTTGCACGATGGACGCGCACGCTCTGCCGCCACTCCTCACAAAGCCTGCCCCGCCGCGATTCGCGAGAAGCTCTTCGTCGACGCGGTGGCCGGCACCATCGAGCGCCGCCTGCTGGCCTGGCCCCCGCCCTGCGATGCCGCCTGCAAGCTGGCGCGTCATCCGCCCGACGGACCTCGTACCTATGGCGAATGCCGGCAGGGGCATCTAATTGCACGTGCTCGTGTTTGGGCTGCTCGTTGGCTGCCAGATGTCCCTTTCGCCAACCGCCAGATCAACGACGAGGCTAATTGGGCGCGCTTGCGCACCGAATCCCTCTACGACGTCTTAGGCAGCTACGATGCTCTTGTTCGTGACCAACCTCCTTCGCCGTCGACGCGCCGCCGAGATGTGCGCCCGAACCTGGGGGGGGCGCCGCCGTCGGCCGCGCGCCCCCCTGCGCCCAGGAATGCCGAAGGCAACTTTGCCCGCGGCATCGGCGACCCGAACTCGCCCGCCGACCTCTGCGAACCCGAGGCGATCTACATCTTGCAGCTCGACCGCAGCCCACATGACCTACTTGCGCGTTGGAAGAGGCCCCGCGAGATCCCGGCCACTCTACCTCCTGCTCGCTCGGGCGACCTCGCACCGCGCGCACGCCGCGCAGAAGAAGCGCCGCCGCCACTTCGGCTGCGACGCGAGCGAGGGCAGCGAACAGATCCAGCACTGCATCACCTGCGGGAGTTGCAGCGCCAGCTGAGCCTTCCACGCGGCCCGCTGAATTGGAGGCTTCTCACCAGAATCGGCATCCCCTCTGTCGGCTCCGAGGTCGCGGCGACGCTGCGAACGCGGGTGCCGGGCTGTCCGCGGCCGCCCGCGTCTACCCCATGACCGATGACGACCCGCCCCCGATCCCCTGCGGCAGGGCAAGCAACGGGCCGCCGCTGGAGCCGCCCCCCACGCCCCGAGGTCAGCGCCTGACCTTGCGGGCGGCGCGGGGCCGCGCCGCGGCTAGCGAGCAGGCGGACGTCCGCGACGTTCGCCCCCCCCCCCCCCCCCCCCCTCCCCTCAGCCAGGGCCGCGGCAGCTTCAGCCGCAGGCGTGGTCTCTTTTTCGCTGCGCGTCGAAAGGCGTCTTTTCATTTCCACCTCCTCTCCCGCCCCCTCCCCCCCCGCCTCCTCCTCCTCCTCTTCCTCCTCCTCCTCCTCCTCCGCCTCCAGCGTGGGCGCGTCGACGCCGGCGCCCTTGCGGCCGCGCGCCCCCGCCGCGTCGGCCCTGGGCCCGTCCCAGGCCGGCGCGCTGCGCGCGAAGGGCTTCGCGCACGTGGCCATCGCGCCCCGCGCCGCCACCTCCGCGGGCTGGGCGAAGGACAGCCCGCGCAGGCGCGCGCGCTTCGGCGCGCTGCTTACGGCGCCCCAGTTGACGCGGCTCGCGCTCGGCGAGTTCGACGCGGGGCCCCCCGCCCTGCAGCGCTGCGGTTTCGCGGGGCGCGTCGGGGGCCGCGCCCTGCAGCGCGACGCGGCTGTGGCGCGCGACGCCGGCGCGAAAGGCTCGCACAGCGACTTCGTCGCGCGCCCCCCGCGCCTGGCGGGCTCCGGCGACGCGCGGCCCGCGGAGTGAAAGGCGCGCTGCGGCTGGGCCCTCGGCGCGATGGGGCGGCGGCGAGCAGCTGATTGCGCGTCGTCTCGTTGCGCCGCGCCCGCCCCCCCAATGGTTGTCGGCCGGCGCCTTCTCGTTCGACTTCGACCGGGACGGCGGGGGCCTGCGCTGGGCGCGCCCGGCCCGGCCGACGCGCGCGAGGCTGGCCAAGGAAGGCGCGGGCCTTCCGCCCGTGGCGCGCAGTTACTTGGCATTGCGAGGAGCTCGTCTGGGTAGCCTCGGCAGGGCGACGATCACGTCGGCGACGCGAAGGGGCCGGCGCGCGGGCGAGGCGCGCACGGCGCCGAGGACGGCTTTCACAGGAGTACCACCAGAGAAGCTCGCGCAGGCAGCGCGCGGAGTGGAGGAAGAGCGCGGCGAGAGCGAGATCCCGCCCCCGCCCGAGCCCGTCCGGGATATGGGCGCCGAGGACGACGCCCCCCAGGAGATTGGCGCGATCGCCCAGGCGGCGGAGCCGTTCGTGGAGTCCGACGCAGCGGATATACTGACGACGCGGAAGCAGACGCGCATAGCCATGAACGAGGAAAGGCTGGATCGAGGCTTGAGGCCTGAACAGGTGCGGCGGCAGGTAGGCGCAGGCGGTCAGACACGGCAGTATGTCGACAACCTCGGACGCAGGGCGAAGTATTTCAGGTCCAAGATTGCAGGCCATTTCGGCAGGGATTGCAAGGAGCCGCTACCAGCTCAGGGTTCGCAGATGGTGCTCGCCGCGCGCGTGGAGACCGACTGCGAGGAGGGACTGGCCCAGGCGGCCCAGGACGTCGGGGGTCCTAGCGAGCAGACGCAGGTCGCGGCGGAGCTCGCCTTCGACGACGAGATCAGCAGCAGTCTGAAGGTCAGCGAGGACAATGCCCTGGCGAAGCTCATCCGGGGGGAACGGTGGAAGAGGCTGGAGCACGAACCCTGAGGAGGAGGATGAGGCATCAGAGAAGAAGACCGCGGCGAAAGACACAGTCCTCGGAGTCGCCCGCTCCGACGGTCGCCCGGCGCTTGACAAGGGGCGCTGCAAGTATCTGATCGGCGCAGAGGCGTTGGCGAAGCATGGGGCGGCGACGGGCCAGATGGCACGGTGGCTCAAAGACCTGGAGCAGATGCGGTTCCGAGGTTTCGACAACAGCGTGCGGGGGTCCATTGTGGCGCGGGCGAGCTCGACTGGGCGGTCGAGGCACGCGGTGATTTGTGCGGCGCAGGCGGCGCCGGGGCCGGCCGGCTCTCTGATGGGCAAGCCCAATTTGAAGGCCCTGGGTGCGAGGATCGATTTCGAAACGGACTCCGCGCGCCTGACGCAGCTCGACCTGGCCATTCCGCGGAACGAGACGGCAGCCGGCCACTTGGGGAACGATTTCTTGAATCGGGAGGAGGGCCCCGCTGGCAGATTCTCGCATCGTCGGCGCGCGCGCGGAGCGTTGCCGAGACGGATGCTGCCGAGCAGGCGCCAGTTTCTTAGTAGGGCCGGCTCGGGGCCCGCAGGCCGGGACGATGGTGGCGGAGATGTTCCCCCAACCGCGGATCGTGCCGGTTGCGGTGAAGGCATGGGTCAAGGATGGCAAGACTCTCGACAAGGTGAGCGGCTGGGATGTGAGCAAGGCCGACGACTACGACGCGATTTCGAGGCACATCATCGAGGGCGAGCCCTGCCGGGTGCACATGCGCCCACCATGTCGCAAGCATCGGCGCTGCAGCATTGCGTGCCGCTGGAGCGACGAGTGGACATGGAGCAGCACCTCGCGGACGCGAGGTGGACGGTGAGCCTGGCCCGCGTAGTCGTGGATGTGGCCATATACCAGTTGAGCGGGGCAGACATTGTCGGTGCGAGATTCCACCCGAGTGCGCGAGTTTACAGATGTTGGTGACGAAGCAGCTGGTGCAGCTGAGAGGGGTGCACGTGGGCGTGGCGAGTGGCAGCGCGTTCGGGATGCGGCGCCCGGACACGCTCAAGCTGATGCCGATGAGTTGGGAGTTCGCGACGTCGGCGCCGGAGGAAGCGAGAGCGGCGCATGGGAGGTGGAGCGGAGAACATGAGCATCAGCACACCAGGTCAGGCGGGGCCCCGCGGCCCCTGCACAGCCAGCGCTCTCCTCGGAGACTGGTGGAGGCGATCGTCCGAGGAACGCGGCGCCAGCGCCAAATCCAGGCATCGAACTGCGGGGCGAGGTGCTGCGCAGCACAGGAGGAACATGGGGAGATAGAGGAAGACGCGGACGGGGCGTGGGAGGTCTTACGTCGGACCCATAGTTCACTGAAGAACGGTCATCGGAAGCTGCGCGCGGTTTGGGAACTGCCGAAACAATTCGCTGGCACGACATCTCCGACGCGCGCGGGCCACGGAACAGGGGATCAATACAGCGCGCGAGCTCCACTGCCCGAAGTGCGAGCGGATGCTTGACACAGCTTTCTTGCCGAGGCTCATATCCCGCTGAAGTGCGCGAGCATGGGCTGCAATGACATGCCGAGCTGGATCCCCAGGGGGGGATGACGTCCCTGGGCATCATAGACGAGACAAGCTCCCTGCACCAGGGGGGCCGATGATCGGCATGCTGGGGGCCTCGAAGAACGTCGCGGACACGTTTGGCCAGACGTGGGCCCGCCCAGAAATGAGATCGAAGTGGCTGAAGGTGGACCCGCACCGAGCTCAGGCGAGCGAAGAGTTCACCAACTGGCGCGAGCGCCAGGGGACCGAGGGGAACCACAACCAGCTGTTCGAGGTTACGTCGGAGGACGTCAGCCGCAAGGCGCAGCCCTAGACGGAGACTGAATTGCGCGAGTGCGCGGTGGAACTGGTCCCGGCCAAGCACAGCCCTCTCTCGGTGGCCTGGGCGTCGCCGATGCAGGTCGCGCTTTGCCGCGACCCAGAGGTGCCGGGTGACCCGATGCAGGGCGGCCCAGACACGATCGCTAACAGTGCGATCGTGACAGGCCCAGCGGCAGCTCAGCAGGCGCGGATCAGGGCCATCGTCCGCGTGGAGGCGCCCGTGCAGCAAGACGAGCTGATGTCGAGGCGGGCGCTGGACTCTAGACCGAGAGTCGCGGCCAAGTGCCAGTCGGGTGACATGGCGGCGTTGCGCGTGATGAGGAACAAGGACATCCTGGGTAAGCGAGCTCATCACCGATGGAGGCCAGGCATCTGCATGGGCGAGGTGCGCGGCAATTACTGGGTGGCGCTGCCAGGAGCTGCGGTGAAGGCGTCGCCATAGCAGATGAGGCCGGCGGCGAGAGAGGAGCGTCATGCGCGGCGCTTGGCGGAAGCGAGCCGCGGACCAAGATGGTGGATATGGGGCACTGCAGCGGCCAAGGGTTCGAGGACATCGCCGGCGGCGACCGGCCACTGGAGGTGGCGGAAGTCAAGCAGTGGCGAAGCGTCCTGATTCGCCTATAGCCCTACCAAACAATGTTCTAAGAACCGTTTGTGGTTTCTACGACATGTTGTTAGAACATTTCTGGTTGGGGCTGTCTTGGTTTAGCACGTCGGGTTAATGTTCTAAGAACCTTGTTTTGTTATTAGAACGTTGCTTGGTTCTAAGAACATTTCGTGGTAGGACTATAGGAACGCGGTGACTGTCGGCCCCTTCTCAAGGGAGATGTTCTCCCCGGCCCTGCAGCGCCAGAGACGCCCGCCAAGGTGAAAAGGACGATGACGATCGGGAAGCTGAAGATACTGAAGAGACGGAGCATCCAGCTGGGCGGATACAGCTGAATGGGATGCAGGATGTGGACAAGCGGGCCTTGGACGAGGCTTATGGACCAGAGGGGTGTCGGATGGCGGAGGACGTCGAGGGCCCATGAGAAGGAGACCAAGAAGCCGAGGCTGGAGGAGCAGAAGTGTGTCGACATGCCAGGTAGCGACCAGAGCGTAACGAGCGGGCAGCAGATCGGCGGCATCGCGCACCCCCCGAGCATGCCGAGCCCGCCGCCCATCGACTCCGCGGACGCTCACTTGGCGGAGGGCGCGGGCGAGGACATCGTCGCGGGCGAGGCGGACGTCCAGATCGCGCAGGGGACCTGGAAGATCAAGCTCAAGGACGAGAGGTGGAAGTCGGTTAAGGGCGAGCTGATGGTCGAGAAGGCGCATGAGAAGGGGATGGGGCCTGGCGCAGGAGACCAAGTCGCGGCGCCCATTGGACCTGGAGACGTCGACTCTGGTGAAGACCCAGGTGCCAGACCGGATTCTGCGCCCGAGGCCCGCGCTGACGCTGCGAGCTGGTGACGACGGGGAGAGCGAGGTCAAGTGTAGGTGTGCGTTGCAAGGCTAAAGAACGCCGACATCCTGGACTTGGTGCGCGAGGGGTGCACGGCGAGTCCCACCGCGTCCACTAACGGGCGCGCGATGTTGCCGCTGACGCTGGCGCCATGCAAGTTCGAGGTGGCGATCGGCGATGCGGTGATCGGCGAAGTCGCTGGTGCCACGCGAGCGCCCGAACTGTCCGATCTACGTGGCGACGCCGAAGGACTACGCGCTGAAGGACCACCATCCAGAGCAGCTGTTCGAGGTGATCAACGAGCACGGGTCGAGAGGTTCATGGTGGCGGAGCTGCGCGTCGACCAACACCCAATGGGCCCGCGCGCGTTCGTGCTGGGGGGGGCCAGTCGAGAAGGGGGGCGCCCACCTCGCGGCCAGGGTCCGGGCGTCGGTCTTCCCGTACGCGACGGGCCCTGCGAGTGCCCAGCTTCGCGGCGAGCAGGGCGCCTTGCGCGGCATCCTTGGAGCGTGCGTCAATGATCGGGTCGACGATGGCCGCGGGCTGCTGCGGGCCAGTGCGATGGAAATGCTGTGAGCGAGCTTTCCCTTTGAGCAAGTGGGTGACGGGCAGTGGAGAGTTCACTGGATCGGTCCTCACTCAGCGAGCCGACCATTCGATCGTCCAATCGCAGTCGGAGTACACGAAGGGGATCAATCCAGCTAAGACTTGGAGGTCAGCCCGGCCTGATGTCGCGGCCCAGCCGTTCGAGGTGCATAATCATAGACCGACTACAAGCAGGGGGACTGGCTCGCGGCCCAGTCGCCGCCTGATTTGAGTGGCCTGATCTTTTTCTCGCGGCAGATCATGCTTAACCCCCCGCGGTCGGCCAGATCAGGAGATCGAGCGCATGGGTTAGGAGGGCCAAGCAGTTTCACGAGATCTCGTTCCGTTAGCATTCCTCCAGAGTTCCTTCGAATCGCGCGCCATTCGGATGATTTGTCAAAGGGCTTGGGCGGGGCCGGTAGAACGCAGGGCGCGCGCATCGTAGGTGCGACGGACCCCACTATGGCAAATGGTCTCTTGGCTCCATCGCGCCCGTTGGTTTGGAAGTCCCGGGAGATCGAGCAGGGGGGCGCGTCCACGCCGGCGGGGGAGAGCAAGCTTCTGAAGGCCTCGTTGGGGCACCTCGAGTGGATGACATGCGTTTTCGCGGCTACCTGCACCCCTGGTTTGTCTGGAGAACCGCGGCAAGTATTCAAAGCAGCTCCCAGCCACTAGCGCGATATATTGCAAGTCGGCGTTCGATCATGCGACTCAGCCAGTGGCCCCGACAGGGCGCGACGACGAGAAGGCCGCGATTGATATCGCCATCGCCAAGGGGGGGCCTCAGGAGGCCCGGGGGGCACTCAGACAGGGCCCGACAGAGCTCCTGCTAGGAGATGCTTTGGCAAAGGCCCATGCAGAAGCGGCAGATGCATTGCGAGCGTGTTTGAGAGCGTCGGCATACCGGCAGATGAATCCGCCACCCTGGCTGGGGCTCAAGCGGAGATGCCAGCTCGTGCTAGCCGCGCTGGAGCTCCCAGTACACCTCCACGGTTGAGCGATGGCGAAGTTCGAGGTGCAGGGACGCGACGACCAGGCCAGGGCATTCATGCTCGGCTTGGCGGACGTGCGCCCAGAGGAGTCCACGACCGAGACGGCGCAAGCCAGCGCCAAGGTGCGGGTGCCGGCCAATGCCTTATTGGCAGGAGTTCCTGCCAAGAGAGGCAACGCGCGAGTGGCGCTGCAGTATGTGACCAAGCGCGGAACTTGCAGGTGATGACGACCGCCGCGCTGGAGGACCAGGTGCGCGAGACTCTGATGAAGCTCGACAACGTGTACGTGGAGTTGCAGAATTCACCAGCAGGCTCCAAGCCAAAGTTGGAATCGACGTGTCCAGCTGTGGAGTTCGTTCTCCCGCGCCAAAACCGAGATGCCAGTCAAGAAGCAGGTGCAAGAAGACGCAGCAGGCAGGAGGAACGTGCTGACCGACGAGAGTCACGAAGAGGCGATGGACACTTCCATGGAAAGAGTGACCTGGTCTTTGGCGAACTACCCCGTCATGTTGGATCGAATCCCCAAGGCACTGAGACAGTTCATGCCCGAGGAGAACAAGGCGCCCGAGGTGGACGGCCCGCGGGGCCCAGGCTCGGACTAGACCATGAACGGCGAGACGAAGAGCGAAAGGCAGTGAGGAGCACCAGAAAGAGAGAGAGAGAGAGAGAGAGAGAGACAAAAAAACGAGAGAAGACCAGTGCAAACGTGAGCGACTGGTACATGTATGTAACACTTTTGCTCCTGCGAGGGTGCTGGCTAGTGTGTACGCGTGCGTGCTGTTCCATAGCCAGTGTTGATCAGACAGGCGCGCCGCCCTGGGGAGGCGCGAGCGCCCTCGCTCGCCACAGGGAGTAGAGAAACCATGCCATACTCCATTCGCGGTGGGACTCGCACATGCCATGCCATATCTCCTCCTCCTCCTCCTCCTCCTCCTCCTCCTCCTCCTCCTCCTCCTCCTCCTCCTCCTCCTTTTCCTCCGCACACATACTGTTGTAATACCGCGCCCGACTGACACTTCCATGCTCTCCCCCCCCATCCGCCGCTTTCCCCCCCTCCCCCCCCGCTCGTGCATTCCGCTTCCACTCCATCCCCTGCCTCCACGCTATCCATGTCCCAGGCGTTCTCCCCATCCCCGGCCTCCCCTGTCCCCCTTCCCCCACCCGCCCACCCCTGAAACGGGGGGGTTGGAGGAAGGGAAGGGGAGGAGGAGGAGGAGGAGGAGGACGAGGAGGAGGAGGAGGACGAGGAGGAGGAGAGGAGAAGGAGGAGGAGGAGGACGGGGAGGAGAAGTAGGACAAGGAGAGCAAGTGGGGGATGAGGAGGAGTTCCTTTTTTCCCGTTTTCTGTCCGTCCCCTCTTCCCTTTCATCCGTCACACCCCTCCTGCGCGAGGGATCCTGAAGGGCGATGTGTTGGGCGCCCCCTGCTCCTCCTTGGGCAAGTTACAATTGCCCATGGGTACGCCCCCTCGTAGTTTATCCAGCCCCCCTCCCTCCCTCCCTCCGGGCCACAGCGTCGGGCTGGCCAGGGGAAGTTCCTATCAGGCGGGAGGGAGGGAGTGGAGGGCCGACACGCCCACTCGACTACTTACCTCGTTCTGCGGAGAACATCGGCTTGACGCCTTTGTTGTGCTGCCAGCGACCCCGTCGGAGGCGACACTGTGGGCCAGCTGCAGGTCGGGTCGGTGTTCAAGGCCGCAGCGGCCAGGACTTCCGTCCCCGCCAGCCACGTCGGTGGCGGAGGAGAAGGAAAGAGGACGAGAGGTAGAAGAAGGACGAGGAAGAGGAGGAGGGAACAGGAGGAAGGCAAGCATAATACGAGTGGAGGAGAGCGGATGAAAGAAACCGACGCAGCAGACTTACCTCACGCGAGTAAGGCGTCTTTGTTTTTGCCCTTGCACGATCAAGGAAAGGTCGTAAAATTGCCCATTCCGAATATGTGAGCACGTCTCGACCTGGTAACCCTTGATGTTCATATTACTCCTCCTCTCCTCATCCTGTCGATGCTGCCCCTCTTCCTCCTCGATGCCTCCTTCACTCAGACCACAAGATCACTCACATCGTTGTCATCTCACCCCTTATTTCCCCTCATCCTCCTCCTCCGCTTCCTCCCCTTGTTTCTACTCTCCGACACACTCGCTTACTTGATTCCCCTCCTCCCCGCATCAGTCGCCGCCGCACCCCCGCTCCTCTACCTGCTCCTTCCCATAACACCCTCCATCCGCATGCGTGTAACACTCGTAAACATCCTCGTCATCTCAATAGCGCCCTCACTATCATCACCTCCGCCGCACTCCAAACTATATCAAGTCCACAGTCCCAAAGATAGCAATGGGGATATACATGAGTTAAGCATAATACGAGTGGAGGAGAGCGGATGAAAGAAGCTGACGCAGCAGAAGTACCTCACGCGAGTAAGGCGTCGTTGTTCTCGCCCCTGCACGATCAAGGAAAGGTCGTAAAATTGCCCATTCCGAATATGTGAGCACGTCTCGACCTGGTAACCCCTGATGTTCATACTCCTACTCTCCTCATCCTGTCGATGCTGCCCCTCTTCCTCCTCGATGCCTCCTTCATTCAGACCACAAGATCATTCACATCATTGTCGTCTCATTTCCATCCACCTCCACCGTCGCCGCCGCCCCCCCGCTCCTTTGCTTGCTCTTTCCCATCAAACCTTCCATCCGCATCCGTGTAACCCTGTCCCGTGCGCCGTCGCAGCCATTTTGGCTTAGCGCCTTTGCAGGGAGCTTCTGGAGGCCGCGGGGAGGCCCTCCACCAGACGGGCCAGGGCATGTCCGCAGTGGTGCCCATCTACCCCTCAGTGCCCATTGCGCAGCCTGGGGACAGAAGCACCGTCCTGGCCCCGCCGGGAGGCAGCGCCGCGGTCACCGCGGCCGCGGCCGCGATCCCCGACTCACTGGCGTCGCCCCCGGCACCGGCATCGGTGTCCAGGACGTTCGCGTACGGCTTCGCCCAGGCCGCCCAGACGGTGACACCGCAGGACCCGGCAGCGACCACGACCACCGGCGAGCAGACTGACCCGCTGTCGCAGCCCGGCGCCCTTGAGGCACGCGCTCCTCTTGCCCTCAGGGCTGGGGGAATAGGTGGGTCAATTTTTGGGCTTGGACGCCGAACCGCCCACGCGCGAAAGTCATCACCGTCGCCAGCATCGTCGTCATCAATCATCAACATCATCATCGTTATAACCAGCATCGCCATCACGGCCTCCCACGCCCTAGAGTTGGCCATCTATTTCCCCTGCCTCCCTGCCCCCAGGGGCCCCAGCAGCGACCAAGCGGGCCCCGAGGCAGGCAGGGCCTGGACTTGTGATGTTCCAACCTACTTTAGCTTTGACCGCCAGGAAGAATTTCGAGCCCCCCGAAACAATCCGAAACTCGAGGGCTTTCACGTGTCGGGCCCTGGGAGACGCTCGCCCGACACTGTTTCTGCACCCTTTCGATACTTTTCCGGGTGCTCGACATGATTTCTGGGAGGTGGTCCTTGAGTACGATGGGAGCAGCATAAGGCCCAGACGTCCTTCGGGAGCGGCGCTGGCCTGTACCGCCGCCGCTCCCCTCGCCCGGCCACGGAGGCTCGGTTGATTGACCCTGCTCGCGGGCCCCCTGCAGGGACGGGCGGGGCACGCCGCTCCAGGCCACGCCGCAGCCCGCTGCAGGCGCGGCCGCGCAGCCCGATGCCGCGGCTGCGGAGCGCGCCGCGCCGCCGCGGCCCCGGCCGTGCGCCGACGTGTCCGCCGCAGCCGTCGCCGGAGAGGCCGTGGGCGCGGCCGCGGCGGCGGCCGGCTCGGAGGGCGGCGCCCCCGCAGGCCGTGCACCCGTGGTCATACTCCCGCCGCAGCAGGGGCCGCCCGTGGCCGCCGCACGGCCGCCGGCGGGCGCCGCGGCCACGACCGCGGCGGAGCCGCGCTGGCCCGCTGCACCCGTGCCTCTGCAGCCCTGCGCCGGCGGCGTGGGCGCCGACGGGCGCGCGGCGAGCGCCCCGGGCCTCGGGGAGCCGGCTCGTTGGGCCTCGAAGGATGGCGGAGGTTGGGGGGGGGGGGTCAGCCTTTCGCGCCCATTAGTTCTGGCCAGTCGGGGGCCTCCGAACAGTGTGGTGACCACATCGCAGGGTGAGTCAGTGGGGATATGGCGTCACCGCACGGTTTTGGGTTTAGAGTCGTTCTCCGAGGACGTCTTGGGCGACAGGGGCCTTCGATGTCCCAAGTCCGTGCGGTGACGGATCGCGCGGTGAGGACGTTGCGGATTCCGAGGTCACCACGGGGTCCGTCACCACACGGTTTTGGGGCCCCGAAGCTAAGCCGATATTGGGCCCATGGTCGGCGCATGTTTTTATGCATTGCCCGTTAGGCCTGGAGGGCGATCTTGGACGTACAGGATCGGTTCGGCCAGGATCAGTGCAGATTAATAGTTGGCGTCCTCCTAGAAGGGGAGGGAGCCGCCAGGGGGTTATGACGCTGGACCGTTCGCTTCTAGACTGCGGGGCTGTCTCAGATAGCATGGCCGTTTGGGTAAGGGCACGCGTGTCTCTTTTCAGAGCAATATAATCCTCGCGATGTAGCAGGCATGGCATTTTGGTATCCGAAGAAAGGCCACAAGGGAGGTCCACTCAAACCCAGACTCACTCACAGTCAGGTCCTCTCGTACTCTGTCATTCAAACTCGCGCAATCCCAGACACCCATGGGGAAGGGAACTCGCCAGCAAAGAGATGCACATACGGTGATACCCGCATCGAGTATCTTCGTGGCGTAGGCTCCCGAACCGATGTTGTGTTGTCCTGCGGCCGTTATCTGACGGCCCCAGGGCCCGCAGCGGGCTTCCGCAGGCTCAGGATTTACAAAAAGGCTAGGCGAGGGGGGGGCGGCCTTCCCAGAAAGGGGGGACCTCTTAGAACCCCTGCAGCGTCCGAAAAATCCGTGTTAGAAGCCCCCGATCTGTTCCAAAAGGCCGCCGTGCCTTCTCGGAGGCCCTCCCCCCACCCCCACCCCCGACGAACATCCGTACAAAACCGGCCCCAGGGCGAACCTCTCCGAGCTGGCACCCAGCCGCGGCCATGAAGACCCTCTCTGCTTCCTGGCCGGGGAGGGCCAAGACGCAGAGGGTCCTCGTGGCCCGTGGTGCACAGCCATGCCGTTCCGCTGGCTGGCGACGGCGGCAGACGGCGGGCGAAGGTCAGGCGGGGCACGCACACTCCAGATCTGCCCAAGAGTGAGTAGCACGGCATACACGCAGGCCAGTGCAGTTCCCGAATTAGGCGACAAAACGGAGCGGGACAGCCATGCGAGTCAAGCGGGAGGCCCAGAGACTTCGACCGCAAAACCAAAAGCCAGAACCTCCTCTTGGCGCACCGCCGACAGCGAACCCTTGGGTCCCCCCTGGCCTGCTCTCCGAGCTGCGCCCAGCCGCGGCCGCGAGGACCCAGGACGCCGAGGGCATTCGTGGCTAGCTGTGCACACAGCCATTCCGTTCAGGCGGGAGGCCCAGAGAGAGCTCGGCGGCAAAGCTGAGATTCGTGAGCTCCTCTTGGCGCACCGCCGACAGGATCTCGTGCCTGTGGCGCCAGCAGCGCTGCAGAAGGTCTACGCGGTCGCGCCGGCACCCGTGGTCGCCGTGGCCGGCAAGGTGGCCTTGGCGCCCTCGGTGACCACCGCTGGGCCCCCGCCGGTGCTGTACCCCTTCTACGCGCCTCGGCCCGCCGAGCCTCTGCGGGCGCCGAGCCAGGCAGGTGCGGCCGAGAAGGCTCGGCCACGCGCAGAGGGGGGGGAGGGGGAGGGGGGAAGGCTTCTCAGAAGCACCCCTGCTTCTTGGAAGGCGCGGGAGCCATGTTTGCAGATGTAACGCCCGCGTCTTCGAAGAAGCGGCCTCCTTCCAAGAAGCTTTCCCCCCTCCCCCTACCCCCATGTGCGCGCCGCCAAAGGCGGCGGTCCTGGAGGTGCCGGAGGGGCAGCAGAAGGTGAAGGTGGTCCCGGGCGACGCACCAGCCCCGTCCCGCAAGAGGAGAGAGGGGCACCCAGAGACCCCCAGCGAGGAGGGGTTTGGCGGCGTTGGCCTCGGAGGCCTCCGGAGACCCGCGGGGGCCTTCGGAGACCCCTCGGGGACTCTTGCAGGCAGCGGGCTGCTCCGCTGGGCTCGGCCCGAGCGAGTCCCGGGCCATGCTCGGTGCCTGTGCTCCCCTGGCCAGGAAGGCCGGAGGTGCGTCTGCACCGGTCCACGGGCTTAGGTCAAGCCCAGCATGCCGAAGGCCTCACCCGATGCCTTCTGCTCGCAGCGTGTGCTGTGAAGCTCTGAGGCCGCTGTCCACCTTGGGTCGCGGGCGGCCAAGAGGGGGTCGATGACTTGGGGGTTGATGTCATGGCCGGGGCCATGAAATCTCCCTGGACTCGGGGCTCAAGCGACGAGGGTCCAGAGAGCTGGATTTTGCAGGATCTCGCAGGGTGCACTGACCTGGGCTTGCGTGCAGGATCCTGCAGGGTCTTGCAAGCCCGACTGACCCGGGTTTGGATTGAACCGGATTGGTAGATCCCCGATGGATTTGATGGCCCCCTTCTTCCTTGTTCAACACGTCCCTTGGCCCCACAGGGGTCGCGCACGCGCCTGGGGCCATGAGTTGCGAATCCCACCCTCTGACGCCCCCGACTCAGAGCCCTTCCCTTCCTCGCCCGCTCCTACGGGTCGCCTCCCTCCTGCGCAGCGGCCCCCCCTTTCCCTGCACTGGGCCTGGTTCGCGCGGCCGAGCTCGCTGGCCGCATGTGGACGCGCCTGCCGCCGCCTGCGGAAGCCTTGCGCACAGCGCCCGGCTCCATCCTCAGGACTCTGTCCTTTTGCGGGCCGTCCCCTCCTGCACTGGGCCTGGTTCGCGCCTGCGTCGTCTGAACTCGCTGGTCGCATGTGGCCGCGCCTGCCGCCGCCAGCCGGAAGCCCTGTACACAGCCTCGGCCCCATCCTCAGATCTCCGACGATGTTGATCGATGCCAGCGCTGTTCCTCGATTTCGGCCTCTGGCGCCCGATGTGAATTCATTTCGTCATTGTTTCAGGTAGCAGGCGTTACCCGCGGAGGGAGGGTGTTGGGGACCCCTGCAACGGTAACGCTTGAGCGGGGTGGGGCGCGTCGGGGCGGGGGGGCCCTGCGATTGCCAGGGTATGCGCGCGAGAATCAGCATTTGGGGGTTGTCTGGGGGCAGGGGAGCGGGTAAAGACCTTTACGCGCCAGAGGATGAAAACATTATCTCTATCGGGCCCTTGGGGCCATCAGAAATGGATCTGGGGCGCAAAGCTGCCCCCCTAGGTAAGCGGTCGGAAGCTCTGGGGGCGAGGATCGAACAAAAATATACCGGCGGGTGTCAGGGTCCCCAGGGCTCTGGCCTCGTGCGGGCCCTGGGGCCAGATGGCGTCCGCTGGCCATCAGCATTTCGAACCTCGCGGTGCTTCCTTGTTGTTCGCGGCGTCGCAGGTTTGTGCTGGCGGGCCGAGGCTCTCGGCCCCAGGGGATGGAGAAGCGACATGACCACCACCAGGGCGACCTCCTCGAGTTGGGTATTGGAGATGTCTCGAGCGAGCGGGGGTGGGGGGCACCATGCCGCCAGAAGGATCCCCTAGGCTTCCCCCTCTGGTGGTCCCTGGTGGAGGTGGTGTCGTTTTTCCTCGTTCCTTCTCTTCGTCCTGACTTTTCTTTCGCACGCGCGCACGCGAGGTGCCAAGTTTCTCGGCCCCAGCATTCGCTCAGATCTCCCGCCCTACTCGCTGATTTTATATTCAATCACTTCGCCAATCTCCGCTGGCCGCCCCCCCCCGCTTTCCCGCCCTATAGAAAAAGATCGAGGCTGATGGCGGCGACTGCTGCGAGCAAGCGGACTGGGCTCGCCGTCGCCACAGGGCCCGCTGTTTTAGGGCCCGCCCTGACTCCGGATCCGCCGTGCCGTGGATGAGTTTGACTTAACATTGTGTCGGGAACGCCCCCGGACGCCGTGAAAAAGTAGGGCCGCTAAATTTTGGCGGAAACGGCGACGGCAAAGTACGGGCGGAAATCAACATCCGAAGCAGCAGCTTGGAAAGTAGGGCGGGAAATTCTGCCTTACTTGCGAAATCGGCCAAGAAGTACGGCGGAGACAGAGTCGGGGCGGGTGGCCCAGGGCTGGGCCGCCCGTGGCCCAAGACTCAGAGAGGCGCTGGCCGCCCTCGCTGCTGTCTCATGGCTCCCAGGGGGGCCTTGGCTGGCGGGTGCCCCCCCCCCCGTCCAAGGTGGTCCGGAGGCGGAAGACGACGTGCGTGTGCTGACCGCCGCGGATGGGGCGGGGGGGCACGAGCCCACCGCCCCTTCGCTTCCGGCGCGGGCGCGGGGACGGTGGCCACGGCGTCGTTTTTTTTCTCCCCGCCGGCGGGGGGAGGTAGGGAGGAGGAGGGGGCCGCAATGTGGGAAAAGGGTCCAGAGGGAATCGGGTCCTAGGACGACAAGCTGGTCCTGAGGGAAGGCCCTGGGCGAGTCCAGAACTCGTTTCCCTCAGGACCCGCTCCCATCATGCTAAAGGGGAGGGAGAGGGAGGGGAAGGAGGACGAGGACCAGTGTAAACCCAATATTCAAGAAAGATGCTGCATACACCCTCCCTCCAAGCTTCCTCTTCATAGGCCCCTAGAAGGCTCCGTTTTCGCTGAGGGAAGTGTCCCCCTAGGGAACTGCCATAAATGAGCCTGGCAAATGACTCAACCATGTGCAGCTGTGAGTGCCGCAATTGTGAATAGTTATCTTCTTCGGTGGCGCTCTCTTTGGGACCACGAACCCTGTGAGGGGGGCGCCGAAATGGGTGCGGCGGACGCATGCGGACGGTGGCACTGGGGCCTTCGGTGGAGGTCCCTATGGGGCCACGAAGCGTGTGAGGGGTGTGCCGAAATGGTTGTGGGGGACGCATGCGGGCGGTTGCACTAGGGCCTTTGGTGGAGTTCCATATGGGGCCACGAACCGTATGGGGGGTTGTGCCAAAATGGATGTGGGGGACGCATGTGGACGGTGGCACTGTAGCGTTCGGTGGAGCTCCCTAAGGGTCCACGAGACGTGTGAGGAGTGTGCCGAAAGTGGTGTGTGTGTGTGTGCGTGTGTGTGTGTGTGTGTGTGTGTGTCTCTCTGTGTGTGTGGGTGCGTGCCTGCGTGCGTGCGTGCGTGCGTGCGTGCGTGCTTGCGTGTGTGTGTGTGTGCGTGCGTGGGTGGGCGTGCGTGGGTGTGCGTGCGTGCGTGCGTGTGTGCGTGTGCGTGTTGCGTGTTGCGTGTAGCGTGTAGCGTGTTGCGTGTTGTGTGTTGTGTGGTGTGTGGTGTGTGTTGTGTGTTGTGTGTTGTGTGTTGTGTGTTGTGTGTTGTGTGTTGTGTGTTGTGTGTTGTGTGTTGTGTGTTGTGTGTTGTGTGTGTGTGTTGTGTGTTGTGTGTTGTTTGTTGCGTGGTGTGTGGTGTGTGGTGTGTGGTGTGTGGTGTGTGGTGTGTGGTGTGTGGTGTGTGGTGTGTGGTGTGTGGTGTGGGTTGTGGGTTGTGGGTTGTGGGTTGTGGGTTGTGAGTTGAGTGTTGTGTGTTGCGTGTTGTGTGTTGTGTGTTGTGTGTTGTGTGTTGTGTGTTGTGTGTTGTGTGTTGTGTGTTGTGTGTTGTGTGTTGTGCGTTGTGCGTTGTGTGTTGTGCGTTGTGTGTTGTGTGTTGTGTGTTGTGTGGTGTGTGGTGTGTGTTCTGTGTTCTGTGTTCTGTGTTCTGTGTTCTGTGTTCTGTGTTCTGTGTTCTGTGTTCTGTGTTCTGTGTTCTGTGTTCTGTGTTGTGTGTTGTGTGTTGTGTGTTGTGTGTGTATGTGTGTGGGGCCTGTGGACGGTGGCGCTGGGGCCTTCAGTTGAGCTCCCTTCGGGGCTTTGAATCGTGTGAGGAGTGTGCTGGAATGGTAATGGGGAGCGCATGTGGACGGTGGCACTGGGCCTTCGGTGGAGGTCCCTATAGAGCCACGAAACATGTGAGGGTGGTGCCGAAATGAGAGTGGGGGGCGCATGTGGATGGTGGAACTTGGGCTTTCGGTGGAGCTCCCTATGGAGCCACGAAACGTGTGAGGGGGGGTGTCGACATGGGTGCGGGGGACGCACGTGGACGGTGGCACTGGGGCCTTCGGTGGAGGTCCCTATGGGGCCACGAAGCGTGTGAGGGGTGTGCCGAAATGGGTGCGGGGGACGCATGTGGACGGTGGCACTGGGGCCTTCGCGAGAGCCACATTTCTCCCGACCTGTCCTCAATCCGCCAAATCCCTGCTAAGCTTAAAACGAATGCGCGTGGCGCTAAGGCAAGAGCCAAATTTTGAAAGCGACCCGCCCACAATCCGTGAAACTCTTTGCGCCTGTCTGAAAGGCGTGCACGTCGGCGCAGCGCTACGGCGAGAGCCACCTTTTGAAAACGACCCGCACTCCATCCGTGAAGCTCTTGCAAACGTTTGAAGCGAATGTGCGCGGTGGTAAGGCGGGAGCCACATTTTGGAAGCGACCCGCCCTCCCTTTTGTTAAGTGGTTGCCAATTTAGAAGCTCGAGGGTAATAAGTGGGAAGGATGTTTCAGGCGAAACGTCCGGCCCGCCCTTCCGACCCCCGGGGCGCGACAGGGACGAATTATTTGGAAACGGACCGGAGGAGGAGGAGGAGGAGGAGGAGGAGGAGGAGGAGGAGGCGAATGAGGAGGAGGCGGAGGAGGAGGAGGAGCAGGAGGAGCAGGAGGAGGAGGAAGAGGAGGAGGAGGAGGAGAGAAAGGAGGACGGGAAGAAGGAGGAGGAGGAGGAGGAGGAGGAGGAGGAGGAGGAGGAGGCGGAGGAGGAGGAGGAGCAGGAGGAGGAGAGAGGAGGAGGAGGAGGAGGAGGAGAGAAAGGAGGACGGGAAGAAGGAGAATGGAGAACAGGAGGGAGGGAGGGAGGGGGGGGTGGAGACAGGAGGACAGGTGAGGAGGACAGGAGGATTGAGGATCGAGAAAAGGTAGGGGGAAGATAAGGAAGCGATGACGAATGAGTAGAGGAGGATAAGGAATAGTTCGATGGAAGGAGACAGGAAGAGGAGGATGAGGGAGTTTGGTTCAAGGAGGAGGATGGGTGGAGCATGCAAACGGGCAGGCAGAGGATGATGAGGAACACAACTATGCATTCGAAGGGGAGGAGGGAAGTGGAGGCGGATATAAGAGGGCGTTGAGCATGAGCAGAAGGATGACGAGCAGGACGCGGAGGATGATAGGGAGGGAGAGACGAGGATTACGTACGAGGTGTGGAGGAGGACAGGGAGGGAGAGACGGATGACGACGACGAGGATGAAGACCCGTCGCTTTCTTCATCGTCTCACCCTCTCTCTCTCTCTCGCCTGCTTCGTTGGGTCTAGACCCCAAGCCCCGCCACTTCGCGAGGGGCCCACAACGGGTCATAATTACGTCGTGCGGTTCAGCGCGGCGACTGCCGTCTGTTAAAGTGTGTTTTCGCCCCAGGTCCTGACAACTGGCGGTCCTCGAACGCTTCCGGGGGCTCGGGGGGTCCAGCCCCAAAGATCTGCCAAGCAGGAAAAATGCCCCACCACGCCCTGGGAGACGCAGAGCACAATCCTGCTCCTTCGATCCTCGGATGGCGAGGATCCAAATGCAGCAGGCCGGACCTCGGCGGCACGGGACACCTGGCGGAATGGGACGCAAATTGCTGACAAGTCGGATCTCGAGCGAGTGTACGGGCTTCCGTGCGAGACCTCCGCAGATCGAGACTTTCGGTGAGCGCAATGGACAGCACTGGCCAGCCGTAGGTTCACGACAGGGGGAGGGGGAGGAGGAGGAGGAAAAGGAGGAGGAGGAGGAAGAGGTGGAGGAGGAGCGACGGCAATGTCTGGAGACTGAGGGAGCCAGAGTCAGAAACTTGTGGAGGCCGCTTGTGGGCCCCGGGGTGCTTTACAGTTCCACAAATAGAGCGTATGCCCAGCTCTGGTGGGTGGGGTGGGGGGTGGGGGGCATTGCTAAGTTTTGCCCTCGACCCTCGAGGATCGAGGATGAGTGGTGGTGGATGCTTCCGGGAACTTCGAGGAGAGATGGCATTTGGCAAGTTTTAGTGACCATGCGGATCCTGACGCCTAGATATCCCCAAAGGCTTGCCCCCGTAAGCCTCCGAAGGCCGCCAGAGGCCAGAGAAGGGCCCGAAACGCTCAGCCACCGCCAGAAAACATCCAAAAATTTCCCTCGATCTTCGAGTGTCGTGGGCAGAACGTAGCAGGAGGAGGATGGGGACAACGTTGGAGGACCAAGGGGACATTAGTCAGAAATGTTGATTGTCAATTTTGGTACCCAGGAGGGAGAGGACACATGTGTGACTTTCTTCTCCAGCACTGCGTATGCCAGTCGCCGTCTGAAGATACCATTTCTCGCACAGTTCCTTCGCATTGCTGGACTTGGGCTGGTGCGCGACCCAGTCGTTCGCCGATCCACCCCGTCTACCATGCGTCGTATCTTCTGGAGGCGCCATGGAGTCGCTCTTCCCTCCTCCCTTTCCCTCGTCCTCTTCCTGCCGTTCTCCCCGCGATCACCCATTAATTGTCCTCCTGTCCTGGTGTTGCCGATGGCGTCGGTCCCCGCCTCCCGCTCCTCCTCCGCCTTCTCCTCCTCCTCCCTCTCCTCCTCTTAAAGCAGATCATCAAGAGCCACACATGCACGGTGCAGGCCATGAGGGCCAAGGCACCCCAGGACGGCAAGAAGGGCGAGAACGAGCTCCTGGACGAGCTCATTTCCATGTTCCACCTGATACGCTACCAGCAGCAAGTTCCATCACTGCACGTGGTACGCGCACCCCTTGACAAGGCCCGTTCCGATGCGAACGAGCGCACAAAGATAACGTGGCAAGCAGCAGTATTCGCAGTACGAGAGTGGACCCAGATGTCACTCGAAGGCAACTTGAAGCAAGCACATCGGTACCTGTCCAAAGTTGGAAAACGAGAATTCCATGACACTGCAGCCCATGCTTGAGAAGTTCCTGGACACCCCCAAGACCTTTTGGACGCCACGGTTGAACAGTGAAACGACATGTTGAGTACGCACACCGCGGGAAGCATCCTCAACGACAACATGTTCGAGCTTCGGCGTCTTGCCAAAGAGCATTTGGAAACGGATTGGACAGCCTACAATGTTGACGACTTCGACGGCGCCCTGAGATCCATCCCCTTGCATACTGCTCAAGCCTCTGACCAATGGTCCAGGGCAGCGTTACAAGCCACTTGCCCACAGGCCAAGCAGGAGTTCATTGGCGTGATCAACGCATGCATCAG